GATGTACACCTGAAATTTATACAATGTTATAAACCAATGTTACTGCAATAAACAAAAAATTAAAAAAATAAATAAATAAAAAATAAAATAAAATTCAGTCCCACAGTCACACTAGCCACATTTCAAGTGCTCAATAGCCACACATGGCTGACGTTTACCATTTGGACAGAGCAGATATAGAACATTTCTCACATCGCAAAAAGTTCTGTTGTACAGTGCTGCAGAGAGAACTGATGAATGGAATATACTGGAACAATTCATTGATAATTTATTAGTCATTAATTTCTAAGGGCACAAATGAATTAAAACTGGAAGTTGGATTCAGTAAAAGGTATAAGGAACAATATCATAAGACCCTACACTTGGTACCTAGATCAGCACTCCATAAAGTGTGGGCAGTGGACTAGTGCTGGTGGTATTAGTTCAGGACTAAATGCTTACTCTCAGTTTCAGTACTTGTTTAGAAACTTCTAGAGCAATGTGATATTTCTGTGTCATCCCAGCACATCGCCTGGCTTATCTCACTGAAGGATAGACTGGTCTGGTTATTAACGAAGCTGCCTGAGGAGGTCTGTGTAGTCTGAGCTGAGTATTCGTTCTGAGCAGTAATCCATGAGCATGGATCACAATGGGAATAAAAATGGTCCTTCACTAAAGACAGTATGAGAAACACTGGTCAGGATGAAAAAGAGAAAATAGATTGCTCAGGGCAGTTTTGTAAGGAGCTTAAATTAGTTGTTAGTATAGCTTAATAATCTGTACTTGCAAGTGAAATTAAAAATTGACCATTAAATCTCTGAAGGTAGTAAACTTAGACTTCATCTTTCCTGCTAGTAGAAATGAGGCCAAGGTCCATTATCCACCAATGTGAATAAGGACTTTAAAGGAGTTCCTAGTCCGTGTCTCTATCTGGGGAACTTGTTTCCTCTTTTAACCCTCCTGGGCCTGGGAGATTCAACCAGCCAGCTGAATCTTTTCCATTCAGCAAAATTTCAACTTTGTATTTTCCTTTACCCCTTTTAGCTCCTTTGGCATATTGTTATGCTTAGTTCTTTGTAACTATTTTCACTTCTTCCACCCAAAGTTAGTTTCAAAGGCTTGCAAGATGTCTAAAATAGGCAAGTTGTTTTAAATTAAGTGAGCTTCTAAAGTTTTTTTTAAAAAATCTCTTCCTTTTTTCACATTTAAGCCTGATTCCCTGATACAAGATATTAAATTGAATTAATTGTGAAATATAAAAAGGTTTTTACTACTATAATCAAGGCATAATCTGTCAGCTAAAGCATTGTTTTAATGATATGGAGTAAGCATAAATCCTAAATTTACTACCTGTTTTCTTATTGTTGTTTTGGCTGTACATTAAATGGTTGCCTATACCCTGAAATAAAATGCTCCATATGCACTCTCCAGTTTATTTTGAGGACTAGTTCTACATTTGTGGAATTTGGGGTCAGATGGAATCAAAGTACTTTGTAATAGTTCTTTCTTCTGATTCTAGTGGCCTTGCATTTTAGATTAAAAAACATATACATATTCAATCCTTCATCAATATGATTGATTTATTTGTTACTAATTTCAACATTTCTTCTTTTTCTCCCCAATTTATCAAATTTGGAAAGAGTTGGAAAACCTTTGAAGGAAATCAATTTCTGTTTTTAGTAATAGTCTATAAGTTATAGAAAAACAAATAAATGAATAGTATTCAAGCATTTCTTGTTTAAATTTTGTGTTTTTTAAGACTGAACAAAATGTACATATTTACTTAAAATACGTATGAAAATCATACTGATAGAATAGCATCTTCTGATTTCAGTGTAATATTATGGTAATAATTTACTTAGGCAGAATTATAGATATAGATAACCATATTATCACTTGGTTTATGTAGACCTACTCTTCAAAAGATGAAAGATAACTAATACTAAAGTATTAAGAAGGCCTGTTATTTTTATCTATATTAATATTCTTCTTATATTTGATATTTGGTAATATATTTTTAAGATACAGTGTATGATTTCTTGATCTTAACAAAGTATTCCATTTCTTTTCAGGAGTTTGGGTTGTAATAATATATTTATAGCATTTTCTCATGATATAGCACTTTAAAAACATTATATTCTTAAGTTATTTAATATGTGATTAGAGGTTGATATTGTTAATATTATTTTTATATAACACATCTTCAAACTCCTCAGAACGTTTGTAGGCTTCTAATTGTTTCATTCGTTTTATACAAGTTTTGACCTTGAGAATATTGACTAATTAATTAGTTAATATTCTTTCTATCAAATATTTTTTCAGTGCTTACTGTGTGCCAGAAACTATTTAAGGCTCTGCAGATAATCAGTATTAAAAAAAAAAAAAAGTCCTTTTCCTCAGGGAGCTTACATTCTAGTAGATTGCTTCATATATGGTCTCTGGCATTTATCACAACTCAAAGGGCTACTTTTCTATTAGTTGTCAGGAAATGCGTATGTCATTATTTGGAAATATAGAGATATATAGAGGCAGGCAAAATTTCTTCTTTGTTAAACTCATTGCTTTTCAATGAGTTTAGCTTTACTAATATTTTTTAATGGAATTTACAACTATGATCATTTGGCAACCCAGAATTTTTCCATATTTTTCTCAACTTCCCAACTGATAGTTCAGTGCTGGGGTAGAAGTTGAACTAGTCACTTAAGGTTTTGGGTTTAAGGAGTAATGTTTGAAGCATGCAGTATTCTTTAGAGAAGATACTTTCTTTTTGATAGAAAAGAATGTGATTTTTGGAATACTCATGATTTTATCTAATTTATTTTCTTCAGAACCTACATTTTATAATATGGATAGATAAACTTGAACCAAATGGTGTGATCTCAGTATAATATTTTGCTCTTCTCTCCTTCAGGAAAATCTTAAACTTCCACCAAAGAAGATTAAAAAGAGGTCCCTCCTGCACCAAGAAAGATCTGCAGATCTTTTTCAGTGTTCTTGGAGGTGTGGGGTGTGAGAACTTGATCAGTGTGTGTGAGCCACCTTGTTCTCTAAAGGTAAGCACTGTGCAGGGAGTGCACACTCATGGGCCCAGGCTCCTAATGCAGGACTGGTTTTGGAATGCTCCATTCAGGGTTTGAGACCATCAGGCTTTCTCAAAAGAATGGCCTAGGCAGCCACTTGTGGGCAGGACATCACACATGTCCATCAAGAGATGGTTTTTGTTGTTTAGAAGTGAAGCATGACCTAGAGAAGTATCGGTGTTTTTTGTTTTGTTTTTTTTAAAATCCCAATTAGTAAAACTTGTCTTCCGGTTTAGTCTGCTGCTAAATCAGTTTAGTAACTGCTGTGATTGATCCCTCATCAAGAACTCTTCTTGGATGTCTTGAGATTTACATTCAAGAATTTTGAAACAATGACAGCATTTAAGCAGTCTGGTGACTTAGTAGCTTAAATTGATATAACCAGCTTTGAAGAATTGCTTTTCATGATCTTTTTGAAGCTGTCTCTTACCTTTACTTCAGAGAAAGTCCCTCAAACTATTTTTGAATCTGTATTAAGCTTCAGAAAGTATGGAAGCAAAGGCCTTCTTAATTTTTGGTAGGTATTTGATCATAACATTTCTTAAGTCAGATCCTAATTGAAAAAAATATCACTTAAAATCAGCAGTTTTTTTCCTATCCACAACTTTTTCCTGTTTTCAGGCAATTAAGAATATGTACATTTGTTCCACCAGAGAAAGCTTATGAAAGATAAATTAATATCTCATCTTTACTTCTAAACTCTAACATCAGAAAACCTTATTGTTCTCTTGTATAATTTATTGATACTTCTTAAAATGACTAGTCTGAAATTAAATTGTCATTTGGGTATCATTCATTGACTATGAAGAAGACCTGGAGCATGTTGATTTTGAAAATGTCATCAAGCTTAAAAGTAGGTTAGTATTAGATAAGAATAACTTTGGTTGCCACCAAGAGACTAAATGTCTAACAAAACATTTCAGATTACAGTTATCAGGATACTGTGGTATTGACAATGAAGACTTAAAGTGTGGTGAAGGAATTAAATCCTTCCATTTCCAGTTTTATTCATATTTTCTTCTTAAAGCTCTTAAAGTGGTCTTGGAAACTTTAGTTCTATAAGATATGAACTTCTTATGAACCATTGAATTTGAGAGAAACCTGGTAGCCATGTCTTTGGTTTGTGATAAATTTTATTCTCTTTTCAAAGCAATTGTCCTTCCTATATCTGTATAATAAAAGATATTAAGAAGGAAGAAGACCCTTTGTGTTTGCTGTTGGAGAAAAAAATACAACTTAGACTTTCTTTGAAAAAACCCTGGGAACCAGCTTACTTTTTTGTATGGAAATAGTTGAGGAGTTAGAACTAGCCTTGCTTATTGTAACTGCAGGCAACTTAAAAAGATTTAGATCTTCAAAGTAGGTAGGATATAGGTTATATTAGTGAAGAAATAGATTCTTGAGTATTTAGAGATAATCTCTATATATAGTTTTCTTTGAATTCTTATTTGTGAGAGTATGTTAAATATTTTTAACCTTTATGATAACATGGAACATAATGGACGAATGCGTTAACTCTTTGGACCAGTTGAGAAAAAAATATTGAATTAAAAACCAAACCTACTGCAAATGTCAAGTGGGATATGAGAACAACTAAACAAGTTATTTATTACCTAAACTAAAGCTTTATTATAACTGAAGTTTTTTTAACCTAAAAAGCTCCTCTTGTATTTTTAAAAATGAACTTTGTCTTGTGATAGTATTAAAAACATATTTTGTAAAAAGAAAAATTTATTTCACCATTCTAGAACTATTATTCTAATTTCAAATCAGTTATGTAGCATAAATATATAAAATGAGGACCACTGAGATCTTGCCTTCTGTATCTAGAGTATCAAAAATAAGATCTTTACCCAGCAATTCTTATTAATGACTTATATCACCTCAATTCATATTAGGCAACAAAATAAACTGTTGTTCTGTGATTTTGATAATATATTAGAGTGAAAACCCAGCATAATGGTACTGAAGGATTCTTCCATTGGAACTAGGATCTGGGAGAAGATTTTATTTTTATGTATACATACACATGCACACATATACATAGTAGTGTTTATTTCTTTTTTTGAATTATGTAAGAATGATCTGTCAGAGATCAAGTTTCTCATTTGTCTTTCACTAGTATTTGGATGCTATATGTCTTATTTTTGTTTTTAAAGGGACATAGGCAATCCATGGAAACAGTCCCTACTAGAAATTTAGTTTCCCTGGTATGATAATGCTCCCTACCTACTCTGCTAGCTAGAGGGAGATGAGAGACAGCCGTGTGTTTACCAATATTGATTTTTAGAGAAGGAACAACAAGGAAATTCTAGCCCAACACTCTCCTTTGAGTCATCTAGACCAGCACTGTCCAGTAAAATTATAATGCAAGCCACAAATACAAGCTACATATGTAATTTTAAGTGTTTTTTTAAGCCACATTAAAAAAGTAAAAAGAAACAGGCAAAATTAATTTTAATTAGATTTTATATAACCTAATATATCTCAAATGTTATTTCAACACATACTCAATATGAAAATTTATGAGATACTTTTTTTCATAGTATGCATTTAAAATCTGGTGTGTATTTTATAGTTACAAAACATTTTGTGTTGGACTAGCCACATTTCAAGTGCTCAGTAATCACATGTGGCTGGTAGCTACCATATTAGACAGTGCAGATCTAGACCAAGAGTGGAGCTTCCATTTTAGCATCTTCTATGCTGAAGTTTATTGGGCGACGCTGTGAGCTCCTCTGGTTTAGAGTTTCCAATTTAGCAGGAGACAAAAACCAAAACAAAACAGGATGCCCAGTTTAATATGAATTTCAGGTAAATAACAAATAATTGTTTAGTGTAATTATGTCCCATGCTGTATTTGGGACATACTTATAAAAAAAAGATCTGAAATCCAGATTTGACTGGGTGTCCTGTATTTTATCTGGCAATCCTACACTGGCTCAACTGAGTGGAAGGCATCATCAGGCTCCCTAGAAACTTGTAGGATTAGAGGATAGAGAATCTCTTCCTCCGCAGAGGACTTTGATGACGCTTTGAAAATCAGTATGCAAACCATTTCTTCCTAAATCTCTGAGATGTGTAAGACAGAAGAGGGGCTTAAACAGGGACTGAGTCATTATGTATTTAAACATTTTAAATCTAAATTATTACATTAAGCTATAATATTTATGAAACTTTATAAATTGAGGTATTAGTTACTTGAGTTTGTCTGACAGCACTTGCTAGTATCACATCTTATGAAAAACACTTCACCCTTGGTGATAATCTCAGCAGTTTTCAGGGTCCTGGCTGTTTAAAGTTGTTTTCCTACCATTGGTTACCACCGCAGTGGTCTCATAACGCTCAAGTTGGCAAGCATTAACACAAAATATTAGATTGCTAAATGCCAGGATAAGGCTTACTTTATATTACAAGTATTTAAGTACTCGTAGTTCACTTCTCTGGTGTTGGCCGTTGGATCCTGACCCCGACCGGTCAGTTCTTATACCGGTTTCCCCCCTAAGGGCTTTTTTTTTTTTTTTCAGAGGAACAGCTTTCCATTCTTATTCTTTAACATTTTTTGATGTTCGAATTTTAGTACCATTTTTGAAGCATGTAACAGCTTCCTTAGTAGTGGATGTATCCCCCTTAAGCTCTAGAGAAAAGACCGTTTATAATTCATGTTCTCTAAGGACAGTAATTACACCAACTCCACACTCCCTCTCAGAGGGAACACTTGCCTTCACGAGGTGAATGACTGTAGGTGACAGTTCTGCTTCATTACCAGCTAGGCAGGTAGATCCAACTGCCAGTGCGGTTTGGCGGGTTAGCAGTTCAGTTTAAGCTATGGTGCATTCCAAATCCATTCACGCTTAGGAGAATGTACCCAAGAGTGTGGATATGTTTATAATTACTGCGTTTCCTTCAGAGAACAAGAATTACAGGTAAGTTTTGGTGTTTTTTTGCAGTAATCCAAGTTATTTTTAAATAAGAAATTTAAGGATCTGAAAGTATTCCCCTTCCCCCAAAACAGTCACCTAAAAGATCTCAAATATAGCCTACATTATATAATATTTTTCTTCCTCACTCTAAGAAGGAATTGAACCTGGGAGTGGGGGTGGGAGGAGACAACTTATTGTCATTCGAAAGCTGTGAATATCACACATTTCCATGTCTAGAAATATCCTAGCTTTATGTAAGAATCTTGTTTTGCCTAACTTCTAATGTCTAAGATTTGAATTATTTTGTCAAATTAACACCAACATCTATATATAGATGAGGTGTTCAGCCTTTTCGAGCTGATATCTTTAACGGCAATGAGTACATTAATGAATTGTGTTTGGGTTTTCACTTTTATTCTCAAGACTGACTTCCTTTTGTTTAAAGGCTTTAACCTTATTTCTGAAACCAAAATTTAAAGCTCCAAAATACCTTAAATATAATCTAGCTCCATTTTTACCATTGATATTTGGATGAGCTTCAGAGGGTCTGTGAATCCCCTGAAATTATGATCAAATTTTATATGTATGTGTTTTTTGCTAGGAAAAGTGTCCATAATTTTCATCATATTCTTGCAGGGTTTTGTAACAAAAAAATTGGTTACCAACCACTGATCTAGTCTAATGTCATCACTTTACTGATGAAGAAACTGAAGTTCAAGGAATATGTTATTTGCTGCCTTTCATTTGAAATTTAATACTTGTAAAAACTAAAGTTTACTTGTAAAAAGCATTTTACTTATTTTTAGAAGGCAAAAGCTTTAACTGAGTTAATTAAACTTGACAATACCAGCCTAATTCGGAGGAGTTAATTAGCTAATAGTTTCTTCTGTTCTACTCTTTGACTGGAATCTTTACCAGTTGTTAATAAAAATGTCCCCTCAATAAATTATAAGACTATGTGATAAATTCTTGAAGGTGGATTAAAGAGAAAATGGATTATCTGTTATAATTTAAATCCTGTTTTTTCTCTTTTCAAATCCTTTTCTCCAA